CTACCTCCAAAATGGCCTAGTTGCTAGTAAACCCCACATCTCCTAATTGCAGATGAATATCCAGGTCATTCCAACTTTCTGCCACAGATTAGTAGAGCTATCATAGCAACTTTTGCAAGGGGAGGCTTTATATCTAAATAAACCAGTATGGTTTTCCTCAAAGATTTTTTTTTTTTTTGCACTTAGGTCAACAACAAACAACTCAATCACATTTATCTTCCACAAAGAGGTTTAAAAACAGTAGCAGTGAATACTCTGAAGTGGAGGTAAAGGGGTAAGGGTTTGAATAGAGAGCTTTTGTCAAAGTCATTCATTTGCTTAAAGCTTGCTGAAGTACTGTTTGAATAGGAGTGGGTTGACTTATGTTTGTTTTACTTCAGTTTCCTGTTCTAGTACGTGTGTGTTGTTTCTTGTACGTTAGAGACGTATTTTGGAAACGGTTGTAAGTTCCTATAACTCTAAAGAATGGCAGAGGAAATACTCTAGCAGAATTCCAATGCTCGTTAATAATTCTGCGTCATTTATACATTGCAGGGGCAGCGGGTATCTTCTTTCTTTATCTTCTTTTCTTTGGTTTCTTAACTGAGTTAACCTGGTTCTTAACATTACATCCCTAGAAGAAGGTTAATGAAGGAATAAGGGAAAAGTGTGTGATTTCCCTCTTACTCCCCTGTGGTCCCAAACTCTGCCACTTGCCACTTGATGCATGAGGCATCCCTGAGTTTCATACTTGATGCATTTCACCTCTGTATCTCAAATGTAAAATTGAAATGTGTTATTTTTTAGAGAGAGTCCTTATCTTTTGTGGAGTTTTTTTTTGTTTGGTCAAGATTCTGTGCTGGAAATTTGGCTGCAGGAAAATGTTTGCCTTGATTTTGATTAAATATCTTTTTACTGGTGAGTTGCTTTCAGTTTTACATGGGTGGACCCAGGCATCCACACAGAATAACTTGTAAAGCTGGGACCTCAGCATGGAAAATTGTTTGCGTAGATGAACTATGCCCAAAATTACTTAGTACGTCAATCTACTACTGTTATGAGCCATAATGACTTCTTTTTTTTCCTGCATGAAAGACTTCTCAGTAAATTTTCTTTTAAGAGCCTGTAATTTGCAGCGATGGATGGAGCTATTTCTCCTCTGAAATGTGTTTCCTTCTACCTTCATTTGCTACTCTTCACTTTTTCATGCCGATAGCTTTTAGTGAGGGAAGGGAACCAGTAAGAAAAATTAATTTATCCTTTACGTTCTGATTGACATTAACTTTGGGATTTGCTCCTTAAACGCTAAGAAAAGAAATCGGTATACATATTTGTCTCTGAACTCTTGTAAGTTCTAAAGTTTTACTGAATTAATTAATTCTTTTTCGCTTTTGGGGCTCACAGAAAGGATCAGACTTACTGACTCCAATTCTCTCTTCCGTCCCTTTATCCTAATTGAACCACTATTTATTTTCAATTCACTCCTCTCTCTGTTCAGCTCTCCTTAAGATACCAGCTTTGAGATTCACTTGTCCATCGATAGTAAAAACCACATATTTCATTAACCTTTATTCATGAAGACATACTTAGTCACTTTGACTTTCTTCCTAGCAGCCCTTTAGCCAGTAGGAGAATAATTTCCCAGGCTTTGACTTAATAGGAATTTCAAAGTAAGAAAAAGATCAGCTGGAACAAAACCAGAAGGCTGCAAAGTTTCCCGTCTGGTTTGGTGAAGGGAAAACACACATGATTAGTTGTGGGATTTCTCTAACAATTACGGTAAACACATGTCTTTCAGGGCAAGGGTAGAGGGAAACCCCCCACCAGAATTCATGTTTTCAGCTTCTCTTTTAATACACGTAAGTTCCTTCCGCCTATCAAAATCTCATTAATGCATGAACTAGAGATGTCACCAAGATTAACATGCCTTCTGGACTTGCTCTGCCCAGCAGCTTTTCTGTTCTAAACTGTTTTCACTGCTCTAAACTGCCAACAACTTTCCCAGCTACCCGCTTGGCTAAATGTAGCCTGAATGTGCCCCAAGGCACACGAACATTGCGTGACCAAAATTCCTTCACTGACTGCAGACATGATTGTCAGAGGATCTGTATCCTAGCATAGGTCTGGCTGGCACTGGGGAAATCCCACAGTGAAGCTTATAGAGTGAAGAGTTTCACTCGAACGGCACTGCCCAAGTGAGCAATGAATGAGTCACTCTTCTGAGAAGGGTTCAAAAACAGGCCAGACGTGTTCAGTGCAGAGAAAAATGGCTGAATTTACAGCTGAATGACTTTAATCTCTACCATCCTTTCCTAGCCCGTCTTACTTTCACAACCAACCAACCAGTAAGTCTGTTTTTCAGTGTTTTTCCTTTTTTTCCTACTGTTAAATCCTTTCCTATTAGCTATTAGCGTTTATGTTGCTGTGAAAGTCCACTACGATTCTGACGCATGTTCTTACTGTACCTCCTAGTAAGAGGAGGATCTTTGCCCTGAAAAGTAGGCAGTTGATGTACGCTGGCCATACAGGGCTAAGAGAAAGGGAGGGTTACCTTTCTCTTTTGTTTGAGGAAGAGCTGAACTGCAGAGAAATGAAGTGATTCATCTAAGGTTACTCGGAAATCAAAGCTGCTCGACCCCTACCTACTGCTTTGAACACAAGATAATCTTGCTGGTTTTGCCTGTTTCCTTATGTTGGAAATCTGACGACAATGGTGTGTGTTTCTCTGTTTGGTACAGCAAGCCTTTAGGCAGCTGAACATCAGTTCTATTAATACCTGTTTATTAATACCTTTTTAGAGTTATGGATGTTTTAAGTATCCTAACTCCATGTGGTTTACTTTTTTGGTAGTCCTGTTGGTCATAGTTCTGCGGAAATCCCAAGTCTTTACTAATAATAACACGTATTTTGTCTTTTAAGCGCTTAAAAGAGAGTATTTTGACTTTGTTCAGGGGACATAAGAAAGACTCCTCCACGTTACTGTGTTTTTAAAGTAAACTGAATGGAAGTACAGTGTTAAGGCTCTTAAAAATAACGGGTCCCTGCCTAGTCAATTATTTAAAAATAGCAATCGTTCTTTTTGAATCTCAGTATTGTATAATCAATAACATCAGTTAAAGGTATGTGGTTAGACTTAACCACGTTTTGGTGTTGCACTAGTTACAGCCAGAGAAAGCTAAGGAACTTTAACCACTTAATGCAAGATTTTCTCACGTAAACCACATGCCATAAATATGCACACAATACTTTGCACCTCGAAGTGCATTTATGCCACGTGCGGTCACGACTGTAAATACGTTATTTTATATTCACTGACACAGAAGTCTGCAGGCGAGTTAATGAACAAACTGCATTTGCTTTGCCTCTTTGGCCTCCTGTACTTAGCGTAGCAGGTGGGTGTAGGTGAAGCCTGATTTCTGGGTAGCTTCATGGTCCTTTTGGGACACTGATGGCCTGGCCCAGGGCCAGAGAGGGCTGCAGCTGATCCCCGTGCAGCAGTGCGAGCTCCTTACCTGAGTGGGATTTCTGGGCTGCCAAGACCTAGGAGGGAGGAGACCGCGTCTCTTCACCCTATGTATTTCTCCTGTCTTATGCAACAGGACCCAAGGGGCTTGCTCTCCGCGGATGCTGATGCAGAGGTTTCAGGCACAGCTAGCACATGGGTCAGACGCTTTGCCGCTTTCGGGGAAGTTATCCATGCTCCAGCGCAGCTGGAAGGGGCAGCCAAGAAAAACCTGCCTCGCCGCATGGCGTGGGCTGGCTGAGCCGGTACTTCACGTTGTCCCGGGCAGCCCCTACCCCGGGCTGCGGGGAGCCGGGA